TTTTTTTTTTTTGCATTTTAATAAAAAATAGGTTGTAAAATATTTTGAATAAATATTTCTCTAGGATGTGGAACACACAATGAATTGCTAAGTCCTTTTATAGTCTACAAGGATATTTGGGAAACAGGAGTTCCTCTTTAAGATCCTAATTTTCATGCATAAAACAGCTCAGAGGTTTCCATGGGCTGAGGAGTCTATTGCTGTGAACCGTGCTGCATATTCAGGGTTTTACCCTGTAGAAGCTGTTAGATTACAAATAGAAAAAAATAAATCTATATTTTGCAGAGAAGATTTTAGAGATTCAAGTTAATTCCACTAGCCTTAATAACAGTCTATTATGACATTGTGATTTTTTTTTCGTTTTTCTTCCATACAAACAAGTAAGTCCCAGTGTATGTTCATGGTGTGGAATATAACATGACTGTTTCTTACACCTCTGGAGATGGATGGCTGTTTAGAGGGCAGCATATAATCTCACTAGTATAGTGAAAAAAAGAAAAATGAATGGGAAATGTTCCACAGGTCAGGTGCACCCTTAGGAATACACGCCCTTCGCATCAGAGAGTTATGCCTCTACCTTTTCCTCAAGAGAGAAACAAATATTGGTGGCTCAAAATGGTAATTTCTACAACATTTTTATTTAATGCTTTCTCTTCTGAGCTCACTTTACTTAGATAAGAAGCATTCTTCTCCTCTAATAGTTACTATTAATAACTATTAATAATGTTCTCTAGGTTTTCTTGAGTAAAAAAAAATGTATTTGTACTTAAAGTTTACATCCAGGGAGAATATTTTACAGGAATTAGTTACAAATAAAAAAAAATACAAGTCCTTAGCTGCAGCTAAGATACTGTGGGTTATATACAGGGTGATAGAAAGAACAAGGGCTATTTACTTTTTAAATCAAATAATGCTCTTGAAATGTTGGGAGAGCTGCATGGGAATTTTGGAACAGGGGCTTCTGCCTTGTGTGAGGAAAACTGCTGAAGCTGTCAATGCTAATTTCGTCACGACACTAACAAACTCACCCGCAGCAAATGGAGCAGTATAAACATTAAGGGAAATTTATGGTTTCCTAATTGCAACAGTGCGGCTCTTTTGTGGGTCCAATGCCAAGCTCGCTTCCCCCAGGGACCAGGCTAAGCACGAGGATGCTCGTGCTAAAACCTCAGCCTTGGCAGAGCAGCTCTCGCTCAGTGAAGACCCCGCGGGAGCCCCGGAGCAGTGGAGCAGATTTCCAGGTGACTGGTGCTGGAAGGAGCAGGACTCTGCCGTGGGGAAGTCGGGATCCTAGTGTTGCTTTGGAAAACTGGAGGCAGTAATCTCTCACAATATAATGTGAACTCTAACAAACCAGACTCCCAAAAGAGAAGTGATTTGAAGCAAAGACCAACTACCACCTTTTCCTCAGCTGGAGAAAAGTGAAGCAAAGGCAGTGAGAGACAGACAAAACAATCAGACTGGGGAGGAGTAATGGCTTATGGTGTGTTCGCCAGAGCTGATGTATGTTTGTTTTCCACTTTTCACCTCCCTGTGCAATCTCAGGCCGCTCTCTGTACTCCGTCCTTGTTTATATTTGATGTTGCAGCAAGAAGACAAGGTGCCATTAGCTTTTACTTGAAAGGTCATATTGAAGTTATTTTCCTCTAATCTGAGGGAATTCAACGATAGCAAAGTAAAATAAAATTTTAAAATCTGGCCTAAGCAACTCCCCTAACCCAACCATATCACAGAGAAATGAAGTTAAACATTGAATTGTATATTGGACGATTACTGCAAAATTGCTCAACTCGCTTTTCAGTCACGGGTGTCAGTTGTTCTCTGTGTGAAAGAGAATTAATTCCTCTGTATTTAGGAAATGATTGTGCAAATTTCAGCCTGCCATTTAATAAAAACTAAATGTCAGGATATATTTTGACCACTTTAAATCAGCACACTGAAGATGTGTTTATTGTGCAGCATGTGGGTAGCCCCATCCCAGCTACTGAAAGCGCTGGGTTATCAGATGAGCTCCCAGGGCTGGGTGGAGATTTGGATGTCTCAGCTAAGCCATGTCAACTGACCCTAGAAATGAGATTTACCTGTCCTAAATACAGAATAATGTCCATTAGCCTAAGCATTGTAGAAAAAGGCTTTCCCCCACATTTGGGATGGGTTAAGAGAGCATACCTTGCCACTTCAGCTTAGCTGAAATGCTGTTACTTCTTAAGCTGCAGGAACTCAACTGTACAGCTGAACCTTAAGTACGTTTTTGTAACTTCAAGCATAAGCTTATGTGGTTTGCTGAGGCAGGGCTTACATTTTGAAATTAATGCTAACATTTATGCATGTGCTTAGTTTCGAGCACTGTCAGTACTCGCATCGGACTTAGATTTATCCATTGAGAGGCTGAACTGTAAAGAAGAAACAAATCCAGTGGGATAGTCTCCCGTGTAAATGTAATTCATAAATATTTGCAGAATCAGGTCTTCAGTTCGTATATGTCCTGTAGCAATTTTATGGCTTTGCCCATGTTACCTGTTCATTTTGTCACTTTTAATTCTTTTTTGTTACTAGTACAGTGTTTGAAATTAGTTTTCAAATTTTATCCTCTGTTGGTCAGAAAAAAAAGAGAAGTATCTATACAGTATTAACATGAATATTGACCACAAGGTGAGTAGGACCCTCTTTTTTTTGTCAGAAGCTTGCTTGTCAGCATGCCAGTGATAGATCAGATGTAAAGAAAATCACTTCTGCAAAACCAATTTGCTAAGGGGCTTGTAAAATCCATTTTTAAAAAGTTACTGAGGCGAAAAAGTGGAGGACCAGCCAACCAGATATTTTGATCGGCTCTTCAAGGTCAAAAACTGATTACTAATTCATCAAATATCTTACTGGTAGCACTGTTTGAAGAGCAAACAACTCTGTGCAGATGCTCTACCTAATAATTCTAATACCATGGAAAGATGGGTAGGAACAAACAGAATATTTTACTTACTTTTGGCAATGCTACAATCATAGGATTTGTGGTCTTCAAAGCACTGGCAGCCCAGTTCAGTACATTGTCCATTGCCATTACAGAGATCAGGACACCGGAGGACAGTGAGGATTTCCTCCTGGGTTGCAGATGGCTGGTTTCCTACATGAAACACTCTGTTTCTGTTTCCTAGCACTCTACGTTCACATTCATTTTCCAAAAGGGCTATCAGTGCCCTCACCCAAGCCACGTCATCCTTGAGCTGCAGGTCTAAAAGGCATGTATCAATTGCCTCATCCATCTGTTTTCCAAGGAGACCTTTACACACTAAACCAATGGTGGAATTTGCAAGAATTTGGTGGCAAACCTCCCAAGCTTTGGCAGCAGTTAGGCCATTGGGAGTAGGCCATGTCAATGGAAGTTTTGTCCGAATCCCTTCAAAGTAGTCCTCTGGGAAAAAATACGCAAAGCTCTCTGAGTCTCTCTGTCTTGGGCCATGCAATGGGTGAAAGGGGGAGTACTCAAAATAGTCTTCCTGCCTTCTTGCTCTCCTTAGGTCTTGTGTTGGTCTGGTAGAGTTAATGGAACTATTTGTTTTCATGGAAACATTGTGTATGAAGGGTTGTAATTGGTCCTCAGGGCTACTTCGCTTTTGGACTGATTTATGCAGATATCTTTGATTGAAAGTCTTGGTCAACAGTTTCTCGTCTTTTCTTGAAGTGGACTCTACTTCTGAGTGAGTGACAAACTCTGACGTAATATCAAGATATGGGATTGCAGAGGTGTAATCCACGTGATCATAATGACAACCAGAGGGCTGAGGGAAAGGAGTCTGAAAGGCATTCAGCGTGTTTGCTGCGGGCATGGGCTTAACACTCTCCTTCTGACATCTGCAGTAATTTTTCCTTTGCTTCCCCTCAGAGAGTACTGGAGACTTGTCAAATAAACTCTTCCCTGGAGGTATTCTGAATTTAAAATAGAAACAGATTAAAGGGAGGAAACGTTCAACAAATTAGTCTACAATACCAGGTAAACTTTCTTGCCCTAAGGCTAGAGAACGTATAAATTCCCAATCTACCAAAGTACTTAAGAAAATGCTTAAGTTTAATCTCTGTTTTCTTTAATCGCTTTTGCACTGCCCTTCTTGAGTTGTCCTGGACATTTTTTAGCGCTACATGGGGACTTTTTAGTAACAGATGCTTAGGTGCTTTGCTGGAGTGTTGCCTAACTGCCTGACTTCTCTTTGCAGAACTTTCTCTAAGGTGCAGGTTGCCCTTTGCATATTACACATGAAATAAGGCCTTAGGTTTGTCCCTGGTGTAACTGAGACACAGCTTGGAGAATGACAAAAAAGATGTACTTTTTTCAAATGCTTTATTAAGAAAATCATCTTTATCTTTTTGCCCTCCTTACTAGGTGTTTCCTCTAAGATTTTTTTCTTTTCTTTCCTCAAAGACACTACTTTTTTTCTTTATTTCTTTTATGCATACTTCATTTCATTCTTATCCTCTAATGGAGCTTGCTTTGAGTTTTTCTTTTGACACAAAGCGGTTTTCTATTGATCATAGAGGTAGGCTAACAAATAAGGTGAGGTGATTTTTTTTTCCCTTTTTAGCTTAGTCCAGCTTTAATGATGGACAAACTTCTAGACAGTTCAGTGTGAATAAGCCATGAAAGTTTCTTTGGAAATTTCATGAGCACAAGATCTCTTATTGATCTTATTTGTCCAGCACAAGAGGAATCCTGGAGCTTCATAGAAAAGATAAGTTTCTTGTCCCAATAGTTGGCAGCACTTCCGTTCCAGACAAATTTGAAATATCACCAAAAATTTAAATTATTTTGGCATTAATTTTGTCTTGCAGCAAGAATGTAGAGATTTCAGGAAAGTGAAAGCATTTGCCAATGTTTTTGAGCCAGACACTAGATAGTGTTGTAGAAAACGTAATTGCCTTTATCCAATTTTTCCAAAATATATAGAAAATATACGATATAACTATTTTGATCATTGATACAATGCTAAATTTTAAATAAAACATCATGGTGGCACAGGCAAAATGAACTGATTTCTCCTTCTGAAACATGAGCCCAGACCTTTACGAAACCGCTTTTCCCAATGCGCCGGCATCGCAGACAGGACGGCTTTCAGGCTTGCAGAAATGCACAAGCTATTCTGCGCTTTCCTACGGTCTAGGACAAGAAAACATATTTGGTGACTGAGAGAGTACTAATCCTTTGGACAAAGCACTTCAGTGTCTGAGTGGGCGTCCTGCACACGCTGTTCCTCCAGCTCTGCATGGTGGTTACCTGCAGCTGAAGCTGCCCAGACTTGCATCATCAACTAACTGTAAGCCTAAACTAAGGCAGCAGAAGTAGCTCTTTCTTTGAGGGGATACTACATAGAGGCTAGGGTAAATATCCTGTATTTAACAAACAAATAAATAAAATAAAATCACTTAAACTGGTCCAGAATCAGGACAGAAACTTAAAAAGCAAATGAAAATGTCAGTAAAATGAAACTCTTTAGATATTGTACTGAAACAAGTTCCTTTATTATTCTTGTGTGAAACCAAATACCTTCCTTTGGTCAGCCCTGGTCAACAGGATGGGCGTGTATGGTGTGGCAAGGATGGAGCCACTGGAAACCCCATCCTTCCTCACAGCCGTGCGCATTCTAACAGCACCTCAGTGAGCTAGGCTGTGCTTTGTGTCCCCTGCAAAAGATGCCTCTCATTCCTCTTCGCTGCCCATTATAATCAAGGAAGAACTAAAGACAAGTTTTTCGAACTGAGTTTAATGTTGTCATAGAGAGAGAGAACAAAATGGATAGCATTGCTGCCAGTTTCTCAAAAGATTTGAAAAAGAGTTTGAAAAACATATTTTACTTACTTAGAATATGTGTCTTAAAATTCAGCTCTTTGTCTGGATTCTATTTACAGGCTGGGAAGCTTTGATGTTGTTTTATTGTTTAAAAGTTGCATTGGAAAGCTGATGTTTAAAAAAGATCTGTGCCATTCAGAGCCCTGCAGCTGCTTGAGAGAGGGGGCTTGCCGAACTGCCAGATGGTGAGCACTCAGACTAGCTTCAGGTGCTGGAGAAAACCTAACATGATTTCAGTGTTATCTAAAATGAAATTAAAAACAGCAGCAGGAAAATCTCCCTCTAGGTTTTGTTTTTTACTGCGCCGTTTCTCTGTGGGTGGATCAGAGACGGATCCAGTTTCCTCTGGAGGTGGCTTTAGACTTTCCATTGTTTTGGTTTTTTAACCAGGTTCTGAAGGGTCCTTGAGAATCCATCCTTGGGATTACTGCAAGGCAAAACTCATCACCTCTCTTGCCCTTCTCACTTAGCAGGAGCTTCTCCTACCTTCCCTGAAATATCTCCATCATATGTGCTGAGCCCTAGAAAACTCCTCACTGATTTATGAGTAAATTCCTATATATTGTGCTTTGACTTTTGATCTTTCAACAAACTTTCTTTGAACAGGTACTCCTAAGGATCTTGTTAGCCCCTTTTTGGGTAGTCAGCAGTTGGTCGTTTCTCCATTTGCCTTCCCAGAAGCAAGCTCTGACGGACTGTCACGTTATTAAGATTTTAAAGACGGCTGTTGAATTCTAAAAAGTACGATTTCTAATGACAGGTCAAAATTGCCATTAAACAGCCATTACTTAGGCCTGTTGAATACAAGTAGAATATGGTAGAAGTGTGTGTTTGATTTCTGAAATGAAATAGATATAAAAATTTATTGTTCCTGTAGGATTGCTCTAAGTTCCCAAGTACAGATTAAGTCTTATGTTAGAGTGGTTGGCCTTATTTTTCCTTATTTGCAAAACATACTTCACAAACAAAACTACAAAGTCAATCAAACCCATTTTGTTTTTAGGAACACATATTGGGCACATTTAGAGTTCAGCAACAGGAATTAAATTTGAGAGGGAAAGGGCAAGGGACAGGGCTATGTCAGAGCGCCAGACTCCTGGCATTGGCACCAGACCATCTGTCTCCAAAAGTGGAATTTTTTAGAGCTCACTGTCATCATTAGTAGAGTAGATATTAAGTTTTAGCATGGTACATGTATTACCACACTTTGTCAAAATATAACATTTAATCTATGCTCGCATATTGTAATTAGTGTTGGGGAATAAAAGAACAAGGGAAATACCAAACCCTTAATTAATCCCTATTGTCAGATATCTACATTTTCTAATGTGGGTGAGAACCGCAGTTTTTTTAACAGCTGAGTGGGATCTTAACACAGCTGTTAACATGAGATCACTTGTGAATACGAAACTTGTCTCTCAGTTACTGCTGATGTGTATTGTGCTGACGGAAAGTTAAGGCCCAGTGCTGTTTGGAGGGTAATGGGTCTCCAGGTTTCCCTCGCGAGATTCAGCACATCTTTCTGTCAGGTCGTTAGGGGAGTATGTAATGAAATAAACCTATCAACACCCCTTGAAACAGCGCCACAGAGCATCTCCCGGACCGGGAGCCTCTCTCGCTTTGTACCTCCACTCCTCTATGAAGTCTTCCTCGGGCACATTGCTCAGGTCGTTGTGACTGATCCCGTCAAAGAGGCCACACAAACCTCTGGTGCTGTTGAAGTCGCTGCCCGGTGTCCTCACCGTCAGACCCATTCCCCACTCACTCACGTCGGCTCGAACAAATGCTCCCGAAGGGAACAAGATCTGAAGAGGCAGAGAAAAACCCCAGTGAATTAAAACTGCTATCAACCTTTTTATGTCATAAAAAATATCCCTTTCTATAAATGAAAATACCAAAGTAGGACCTTGGTGATGGTGGAGGTAATTTAAGATCACTTAGATACACTATAAATATTTATTTGTGCTGTTATTTAGCCTGCTTTCAGATGCTGTAGTACTAATATCTGATAGCACTACATAAATATAAAACTGCACAAGTACTTTCTTTTTAAATTCATAATTACATCCATTGAAGTTTTCCCACTGGTAAGTTACCACCTAATTTTTGAAGTAACATCCATGACAATAAGACCACCCTTGTGTCTTTGCCTGGGAAATAATTTCTTTTAGATAAACTGCCAAGCTTGAAAAACAGCTTTCTTCTCTCTGAAAAATCGTTTCATTTTCCAAGGCCGGATTACCCAGAAAATGATTGTGTTTTAAAGTGGATAAAGCAATTTTCTCATTAAAGAACTTGTAGTGGGTTTACACTGACCTTTAAAAGAAAAAAAATCTTGAGGTTAAGACAAAGAAATAACTGTGTGGATAATGGATTTTTCAGATTGGTGTTCCAACTAAATAATAAAAAAAAAGAAAAGAAGAAATCTGTTCAAATTAAATGTATTTTTATTTGTTTGCTTTATTTTTACAGGTAAAAAGAAAATTGTTTTGAAACTGATCTGTGCCGGGAGTGAGAGCAGAAGCACTCTACTTAATACTTTTTTCTGATCCAAAATTAAATGTTTTCAGTTATTCTTAAAAGGACATTAAATAGTTGGAAACGTATCATTAAAATAATTTCAAAATAACTACTTTCCTTTCCTTAAGTGACCCCTGCCTAACTATAATTTATTTAGCCAAATAATGTTCACGGCTTTTCTTTCTTTCTGTGAGGATTTTTTGATCCCTTATAAGTTCTTCCCCACCAAAGCTATTCGTACCTGTGAAGAAGCAACTGGCTTGTATTTGTATTTCTGTGCTGGAATCAGAGTTTACGTTTTGGAGGCACTAAATACTAATCTTGCCCATTTTAGCTCCCCAGTCATCATTTCAGGCACAAGAATACTTTTTGAGGAGCTCTCCATGAGTGATCTCCTCATCCAGCTGAGCAGAGCAGCGAAGTGCCACTGATTACAGTAACAGCCGGGGACATTGTGTTCTGAACTCAGGTGCTCTGTGTTTTCATCAGGGCATTTAAAGCATTCTTTCAAAAATTGTTGGCCTTGGTGAATAATCGAAGTCATCTTATAAAACCAGTTCTTTGCATGCATTGGGAAGCCTTGGCTGCACCTCCACCTTGGCTGTATGTTTTGCTTCCCAAGGTAAGTTTAAAAACAAATAAATAAAAAGATTCCCCAACATAAAGCTCAAATAATCTGATGAGTTAATTTTTACTTAGTGGTTTAATAGGTAGAGGAGGAGAACTGCAGTTGATGCAGTACTGGGTAGGATTTGATTTCCTTCTTCAGACAAACATATGCCTTCTAATTACATGCTTTACTACAGAGAGGAGCATTTCCTACAAGGCTGCATATAAAATCCTTGCAGTCAGGACTGCACGAGCTGCTTCAGTCTTCTGTGCTGTCTGGATTAATATTTCCAGGTGTGGTTTTATATCAGGAGTTTAGAGGGCTGTAACCCTTTCTTCTCCTGCTGCCCTGGGTAAGGCATCCCATCTGCTACTGAGGACCTAACAACTGCTCAGGGTTTCTGTAACCCGCCTGGATTGATTGAGGCTTTGAAAAAGTTTTTTGAGACCTCAGTTTGCAAAGATGTATAGCGACTGGCTGCTGGAAGCTGCTACCTTGCACAGAAAAGAGAGCAACTCAACCCCAAAGCCTTGAATGGCACAGGAGCTGAGGGGAACCGGCTCCTGCGCTACGTGGGGTTAGCGATGGGCAACTGCTGAGCAAATTGGGATGCACCGTGCACAGCGGCGTGATCAGGGATCGCGTTCATTGCTGCACAGTTCCTACAGAGTCCCATTCAGATCAGAGCAGGATTCATCTCAGTGTCCCAGGGGCGTCCTGATTAGTTTCACTGAGGCTTTGATGAGGTGTGAATGAGAATAGGCATGCCTTGCTAAGATTATTCTAGCAATAAAACAGTAATTATATTGTATTCGGTTGCAAAATGAAACGACAGCTTGCTTCCTGCTTTTTTCTCTATTCTATAATTAACAGACTTTCCATTACTACCTTACTAAGACCTATCCCAAGCGAGATCACAAGGAGAGACAAGCACAGGCACAACCTGCATCATTCTGGCTCTATCGTGGACCTATCTTCACCCAAAATATTTCCTGGCAATAAATCTTGATGACACAACTCTAGGATAAAATTATTTTCTCGGCCATAATTTGTGGCTTTTCCCCTCACCAAAGGCCCTGGTACGGCACTTATTCTTCCAGTGATTTCACTGGATTAGTGCAGATAAGTGATACTCATGCAAAGTATGTTGTGGCCACATATTTTTTAGGCAAATACTTTGAATTATACCAAATGTTGCACATTTACAGCCTATTTTCTTGGCTTTTGGGGGCTCTCTGGATCTGACAAATATTGCCTTACTGTTTCACTCTAAAACTACATTATTCTGCTACCTGTGATCTTTCCTTGAATATTTATATCATAAACCCTGCAAAAAAATTTGCTTTATGTGCTCCAGTCGGGTAGTGCTTAGCATAAACAAACTGAGAGCGGATTGCCGTGCTGCAGAGAATAAGTAACAATATTGGCACTCCGCTATGTCTCCAAGAAATTTCGAGAGATATTTGTTTTGTTTTGTTTTACGGTTTGTTAAACTAATACTTTAACCAGCTTCTTCCCTGCATCTCGTTTTTCAGTACATTTTCCTGCAGGCGCTCTTATGGCTTCAGATAGATATTTTTGTAGCAACTTCATTAATAATTCAGAAATATTAAACTCACATTTCTAAAGAACAACAAGAATAGTACTTAAATATCCACGTACTGTTATTTTTCTCCCTCCGTAGGACTTTAGGATTTTGACATGTGGCGATGCCTCAGTGCTTTTGACAACTAGCTGGGGTCTGCTCTCCCGAAAGTGGCTGTTGCAGGTGTCCAGCACCACGGTGTCACCCCCCTCTCGGGCAGCTACGCCGCAATTGCAGGCGGTGGCGGAGCGGTGGCCTCCGCAATCCCACTGCCGAACGTGCACTTCAAACGCCCGCGACATGCTCTGGCACAAAAGGAAAGTGCCGATTTTATAGTTATCGTAGCGCCTAAACAGCAACGAACAAAAAAAAGAGGATTTAGAGACTCAGAGCATCCACCTGTTTGGCGACTGTTTGTGGGTACTCGTACAACAGCGCTCCTTAATCACACCAGCGTGGTGGCTGGCCTTGAAGGAGGGAAAAATCAACATGCGGGGAAGTGTTTCTCCGGCACTGTAAGCGAGGGAACGTTGTCGCAGTTTTTAGCTAAAAGTGCATAAGAATTCATGTGAAAAGCGGGTAGCTGTCTCCCAGCTGCTGCTATGGCAACAGGCATGGATAAAAAGGGTAAACATTTGATAAAAAGCAAATGGGAAAAATTCCCTGCCTCCAGGCCTTAATAAATATATTTTGGTTCTAACCGGATGCTTTACAGCACGATATTCTTCAAAGTAAAATCAGCGCTCAAGTAACCTCTCCTGTGACTAATCACTAACTTTTACAAGACTGACTGTGGCTAGGTGAATACTTCATGTGAAAAACAGGGATTCTACTGGAAACCTGTTCAAATGAAGTTCGTTCACCCCCCAAAAAAAACTTCCGTGTAAGCCCAAGTTTCGCTCTAATGGACGGGCAATCAGCACAAAGCAGTGTGTTGAATAATTTGGGACTTTAATTCGTCTCTGTACAGAAAGTCCTTGCTCCATCTGAGCGAGGCCATGAGCAGAATAACTTTAGTAACTTTGCAAGTGTTTCCCCTCTGCACAAGCCAGGCAAAAATCCTCCTGCCTGCGGCCCCTTGGATTTACACAACAGGGACCTGCGAGAGGATCCTCCTCTGCTTGCTCTTTGTTTTCTCATTCCGTAAGTTTGTCTTACTCTTACTCTACTTTATTCTAAGGCGATATATAAAAGTAAAGAAACAGTAGCTGTATACTTTATATATGTTGCTGTAGTTTTCTCCTCACAAGGAAACAGCTGCCGTCTTTAAAAACGATGGATTATTCTACTTCCTTTTAAGGCACTGCATTTAGTTTTAAATGTGATTTTTACAAAATTAAGTAACATGGAAACTGAGCTATAAGCTTATAATGGTGAGTGCTATTCTTTTCTACAATAAAAAAAAAAGAAAATGTATAAAGGAATGTATAAAATACCTCAACTAAATAACAGGACTATTTTTAAGCACTGTCATACAAATATCAGTATTTTTTCAGTCTCTTAACATTTCCTACACAGAGAAAAAAATGGCTCAAGAACGAAGATTTTTTATTATGTATATATCTGCATTTTTTTTCTCTTTAGAATAAAAGCCATAGAAAACTGTGTAGCTTAAAATACAGTAAGAATTTAGACTCCAACTGATTTTCTCTGCTAAAAAACACAGCAGGCTTTACCTTTTGTCTTGAAAAACTTAGTGAAGTTAGCTGTAAACTGATAAGATTTTGAATCGTCCTGTCTCATCTTATTTTCTAATCAGGTACATAAATCCTGAGTACACTGTGCAGGTGCTGTTGCTAAGATTGATTAGAACTAAGGACAACATAAAAAAATAGATAATCTCTTTTAACATCAAGCACTAGCTCCATTTGGACATCTTCACAGGAGAGACAGAGGAGAAAGGGTGTTTTATGAGAATCACCTTCCAGTTTCCTCCAACAGGGGGATCTTAGAAGGAAAGGTGTTCAGAGGGGTTGATAGAAAATAATGGATCAGAACGGCTGTATCCAGACCAATCATCTGTATCTGGTAAATAATACTGTATTAGCATATGCATATAAATATCATTGCAGTTGTGGGAGCTATTTACTGCTTAATAAGCATTGACAGTGGACCTGATCCAACTCTCCTGGAAGTCACTTAGAGTCATTCAATTGTATAGCACATAACAAATCTGCAATGTGTATAAACTGAAGCTTTCAGCTGCTTTTGAATTACTTGAATGGATAATTGAGTGTATCATAGAATCATAGACTGGTTTGGGTTGTAAGGAACCTTTAAGATCATCTAGATCCAACCCTCCTGCCACGGTCAGGGACACCTCCCACCAGACCAGGTTGCTCCCAGCCCCATCCAGCCTGGCCTTGAGCACTGCCAGGGAGGGGGCAGCCACAGCTTCTCTGGGCA